GTCACTGGAGCTATAAAGCTCTTCTGGCTCCCAGAGTCACTGCTGCACTCCCATCCCCAGGAACAGGTACGCAAACAGCTGAGGTGGCTCTACAGAGCTTCCCTCTGGAATGATGCATTTGTTTCCACCCTGAGTCACTAAAAAGCAGTTACGTATTTTCTGGAGCCATGCTGAAAACACACAGATGTTCTCAGCTTCTGCCAGCCTCAGAAATACTACAATGGATGCACACTAGCCAGAGATACCTTCCTGCAAGTCACCTGCTAAATCCATGGTGGGCTTCCCCTCTTTCAACTCAGAGAGCCACTGAACAGGCGAGTCCTTCCTCACTGCAGCTGCCAAAGGCTCCCAACACTGCAGAGCTCAGCATGGGAGTTCCCAATGCCAGTAGTTCAGACAAATCAAACTCCATTTTCCCTGGGCCAATGAAAGGCACAGCTCCTCAAGTCAAGGCTATTCCTACATGAAACATCACCTTTCACCTTGCTGCCACAGTATTCGTTTCCAGGCTCCAAAACAAGACATCAGCTTTGCTCTAATGAAATTTGGCTTTTGGCAGAGGCCAGGTCTGGAAAACTTCAGCCTCAAATACTAAAATGCCTGAAAGTTATGAGCAAAGAAATTAAAGGTCTTTACAGCCAAGATAATTTCCCAACCTTGGCCGCTGTTTCTTGTGCTGTTATAGCGACAAAAACTTTCTTCTCAGAGAATTAAGTTTTCGATCGGAATCTATAACCTTTGCACTCAAGAGAGATTGCAAATCCCCACCCATTCCCCCACTTGACAGCTTCCCAGTGTTCACAGCTCATATTTTCACAGTTTCCACATTTTCACAGCTCTGGATTCAAACTGGGAAGCTGTGAATAGCAAGGTAGGCACCGGCAGTTTCTCTCTGAAGAAGGAAAGTTTTGGGTTCCCACTTCCTCACACCCCAGCACCAAGTCCTTTACCCAAGCTCTTTGATACCATTTCATCACTCAACATCTGGAACACACTGGGATTTCTTCAACTAATATAATGATGGAATGAGAATGGATGTAAGGAGGAGTGAAAAGGTCACTGAAGGAAGACCATCCAAATGCTCTTTGGGCATGCAGCAGATCAGCCTTTCTTTGAAACCCATCAAATTTTAGAGGTATACTAGAAAAGAATGTGAGAATTGGAAAAAGGTGACTGAACTACTTTCAATCTACTATTAAAGCCTTAAGCAGAAAACTGCAGTATAAA